AATGAATGTACAAATGCGCTTTACACAATTGATGTATGTATGGATTGTGATAAGAGTTGTATGAGCCCCTAATAAAATGATTAAAAAAAAAGAAAAAGAAATACCATTCTGCAGTGAAGATGTTTATAAAATAATAGAATAGAATGCAAAATATTCTATTTGAGAAGAATCTAGGAATTCACACCTGAGAATAGACTGTCAAACTTAGGAAGAAAATAATAGCAAAGTAACCTCAAAGAAAATGGAAAAACTTCATCCCACCCCCAAAAAAGCCCACTAAACAGTAAAATAAAAGCCAAGATTTATAGTTATACTGGTATCAAAGAAAGGTGATCCAACTGACTTAATCACACCTAACAACACAGTTGTGAATGGAAACCAGACAAGGATGCTTTGGTCGTTAGATGATTTTATGTCACTTTGAAGTTTTTGAAAGTTTCGGGGTGAATTCCAACCTGTTGATCAGTTCAGAGCCTGATCATGCCTCCTTGGGGGTGTGGCCCTCTTATAAGTGGAGGAACCTGGGGACCCCTTGCTTTTATCTGTGACTTCACCTTCATGCTTCTTGAACTGCCTTGATCCTAAGAGTTGTTGGTGCCCTTGGCACCCACTGGCCTGATCTTCTTGCTTCCCAGTTCACCATTTGTGTCACCAGCATGTGGCTTTGTAAGGGAGAAGAGGGACTTATGGACAAGCATCAGACTATGAACTTGAGTTGAACTGGGCTAGGGTGGCTTCTTGAAAAATAGTTACTTCCTGATATAAAACTCTTTCTTATACATAGCTGAGTGTTACTGGATTTGTTTCTCTGGACAACCTGGCCTAACACAGATGCAATTTATCATGACTTATATTCAGTAATGTGCTGGAAGTCTTAATCAGAGATATTAGACAAGAAGAAGATATCACAGGCTTCCAAATTGACAAGAAGTATACTTGTCTTTAAAGATTTTGTGATTCTATCCATTTGTTGTTAGGTATTGTTGAGTCTACTTGTAGAGACCATGTGTACAAGAAGAAGGAAACTGTACCAGTCTATCCTTCCCCTCAGTTGTTCTTATGTTAGTCACTGATGTGGCCATTTTATTTAAGGACTTCCTCTTTTTCATTGCCCCACTATTTCACCAAGTATTATACCTTTCTCCAGGGACTTCTCTCTCCTGATAACAGGTCCAAAGTACATGAGATGAAGTCTTAAACCATCCTTGTCTCCAAGGAGAAATCTCGCTACACTTCTTCCAAGACAGATGTTTGTCCTTTTAGCTTTCCATCATACCTTCAGTATTCTTCAGCACCGTAA